AAAAGTAGAATGAGTCCACCTACAACTGCCTGGGGTCCATTACAGAATCGAATACAACAAACAACCTTGCTAATTTTTAAGATGCAACCAACATTTTTGTTGGTTTTACTGCAACAGAATGATAATGCTACCAAATGCTATAGAATTGGTTATTGAGATATTTTTGCCATGTGGAATTAAATCTTAGCAGGTTTTACTCTAGTTAGGTACATCCTCTTCCTTTAAAGAGAAAAGGTTGTTAGGAGCCCTTTTCTGAAGAGAGTGTAGGGGGTTGCTGTGACATTCCAGCAAATCAAGATGCTGGTGTTGATCAGCAGAACCTTGGTGGCTTAGGTTTTACTCCCCCTAGGGAGTTCCTTTCCTGCTGCAACCTTTCATGATCATGAATCCTGAAAGAGGCCTCCTGATTACACCATTTGCTCTCTAAAACGTTGCAGTACAGAATTGTTTGATGATTGATCTGGGAGCCTGTCCTGAAGTTACCTCAAAGAAGGCCAGGCTGGAAGGCAAGTGAGTCACCCTTCTCCCCTTCTGCTGTAATATAGGGAATTATGGATCTTACCCAAAATGAATCATCGAGAGAGGGGGAGGCTTTTAGATCTCATGACGGGTGAGAAATCCAGCAGAATTTGGGGAGGGGGGAGGTATACCCTGACTGGCACATCTTTTCTTCTTGCCCTATTATCTCTCAGGCCTAGAGTCTGTTTAAACAGCAGAATCAAGTTTTGATAAAAAGTTAGTGATATGATGGCAGTGTTAGTTTATATGCATTTTAGTATGGATTTCATCTGTATTTTTACTGGGAACTTGTCTAATATTTATATGCTCTGTATTAATTTCCATCCAATCCAATGATTACCTTGAATTGTTTTCATGTCTGACTTTTAACACTAAAAATATTTTTGCCTCTTTTCATTTATTCTAGGCAAAAAATAAAAAGAACAGAAAGCAAAAATAAAACTTAATCCAGTCCCAACAGTTTTAAATACACCCAATTCAAGTATTACAAAATTCCTGGGTGATAACTGACTACACAAATAGGTCTATTTACATTCAAGTGACCAATATGGCATCTAAGCAGTCTGACTATGGTTGACTCCACAAATATAGTTTATTGCTTCTTCCCCCCTCCATTTGTTTTTAACTTAAGTAAGTAAAAAAATAGAATTCACAAATTTCAACCCTAAGATGCAATAAATGAAACCACTTCCTTCTACATCACCAGACATGGAGGCCCACAACTGGGAGTTTCCCAGGTGCAAAGTTGGAAAGCGTGACTACTATTTGGGCTTTCAGGTCTGGTCTGCAGAAAAAAAATCACTAGATGGCAGTAAAGAAATGCAGAAAAGCCAACTCTTTTCAGGCAGATACATTGCTTTGCCAGATGTAATATCCTGCTAGTGGGGCCAGGAAAAAAAAAATACTGTAGCTTAGGGACAACTATAGAGCCATAGAATTATTCCTTAAGTAAGGCCTTGAGGTCCTGTCAGCACAGAATCACTAGTTCAAACAAATCTTCAAGAAGCTACATCATTTTTTCAGGCAGAAGCCTGGAAAAAAAAAGGCTGCTTTAATGAGGAACAGAGAAGTTCTGTGCTCCTGAAAGTTCCAAAGATTCTTTGGGAGTAATTTTCAAAGTGTCCACAGCTTAGTTGCCATACTGTTAGTACTGTGGAGAGAAAGTCTGCTTCTCCTGCCTTATCAAAAACTGCAGACTTTGTGAAAAACCCCTGGGATTGACTAAATATAGATACAATTTTATGAAAAAGAGCCAAATAAAAGAAAGATTTGTCCTAGAACTGGTAAAATGGTAGGGGGAGTAGGGTAGAATCACCATCACTTCAGCAATTTGGGAGGTTCAAGCTGCCAATTATCAGAAAAATTCAGAATTCTCTGACTCAGCGGTAGGCAAAAGTAGCACCTAGGATTCATATGCTTGCCAAAAATAAACATTTTATGGCATTAACAGAAGAACGAGATGCAGAATATATATGACTTTAAAAGCATCCAATTCAGAGAAGGGGACTTTAAAAAGATACCAAGAAAAATCGGAAAGGCATTCACAAGCACCCTAAGCCCAAACTGGAAAAACAGAAATCTCTGCGAGAGGGAGCAGAATTATGCAAACAGCATAACTACCACCTTCAAATCACTGCCATTTCCTAAAGCCAGAGTGGCAGAAGAACGTGGGTGTGTATGAGAGAGAGAGAGAGAGAATGTCTTTCGGTTTTCTTGATCCTGCTGCTTCTCCATCCCATTGTTTGTCCCTCTCTCAGGGCTGGTGTAGTTTTGGAGTCCCTTCTGGGGACATGCATGAAGAATAAAGTTTTAGAGTTCTGCAGCTCCACAGGTTGCTTCTGAGAACAGCCTCTGCTGATCCTCAAGGAGATTTTGGGAGGCCAAGGTCCTCTTAGTTACTGTCCCAGGGAGCCCAAGAGTGCTTCCTTTGGCTTTCAAATGGAGCTTTATTTGACAACCAGCCTGGTCTAATGGTAAATTTTAGGGGTGGAATGTGTTGAATTTTTTAGCATGAGAGACTTTAACATGTTCTTTGCAAAATAATAAGGCTATAATAACTAATTGTAAATAGTTGTTAGAAGGCACCTAATTAGATATACAAGAGATTTCCAGTATATGAATGGCAATAGAAGACCAATTTGGCATCTATGTCACATTTTTAACTGATATCAGATTATGATTATTTCCATAATATTTTATGTTTATTTGACAACTTTGTGTCTGCTTAGGGAAAAAATTAATTGGTTCAGTTATTTGCTGGACATATGCTCCAAGTGCACCATTGGTTCATGTAATGTGATCCTATAATGTAGCAACTCCCTTTTAGACTTATGTCACAGAGTAATTATTGTTCTGGAGACTGAAGGTTTTTGTAGATTTTCATGCGCTCTGGTATTACATACTGATGGTTGGGAAACTAACACAAAAACAAAGGAACATATATGTTTTTATGATAGTGATGTAAATAAATAGATTAAATCTTGATACTGCAATATCCATGTTCTTATCAGTTTATACAGTGTTTTGAATATACAGACATTCCTATATATGAATAAATGTTTTGATAGATGTCTTCATTAAAGGATATTTAGAAATGTGGATTGCATATACTAATTAATACATTTGATGTCTCATTTTTCTTATTAAATACACTGACCTAAACATTCAAGGTTAAGAAAGATATGTTCTTTTGGATTTTTCCCTCCCCTTTTTTGTTTTTCATTTATTATATTTTTTAAAAAGGAATGGAAAGATTTTTGGGAGTGGGATGAGGAAAAGTAAAGCATCTTGTATGTTTATGTAACTCTTATTGCTACTGCCTTGTGTTTTTCTTCTTATGTTTATTCTATGAAATATTTCATTCCTGTGCTTTATCATCATCATCATCATCATCATCATCATCATCATCAGTTCCAGAAGCCTTACCTTCTTCCTAGGAAGTAGTCAGATCATATGATGTGGTGAAACTGTAATGCTTTGCTTCAGTGTTTTAGCTACAAGCAAGTTTCTGACAAAAGTTCTATATATTTTCTCCTTTGAATCTGAAATAAAATGGCACGATTCGAATCTCTGTCACTACCTTTAAGACATCATTTAATATTACTAAAATGTATTTAATTCCACATCTTTCTAAGTTCTTCCAGATGTTAAGAGAACCACAGAAGTAAGAAAAACCGAATTCACATTATCAACTAAAAAGCCAAACTTTTATTATTAATGGAGAAAGGAGGGATAGAGTGAGATCTACCAAACTCTCTAGATCTTATCTATTCAACTGTGATAATATTTATTCGTGTTGTGAGGAGTGAAGACGTGAGTTGTATCAAGGATTTGGGAGGTGACTTCATTAGGCACTCACCACTTTACCATTTTAGAAGCAAAGCATAAGCAAGCTTCTTCTCTTTTATAGTTCCACTGGGAATATTTGTATAGTATTCATTCACAATTTCAAAAGCATTTCTTTGGGAAGTCCTGAACATTTCAGAAAGGAATTCTGATTTACACTATACAGCAGGCATTGAAACCATTATACAAAATTTATTTCATGCTAGAATTATTTTGCATAACATTGTGCATGCATTTTATTCAGAATTCTAAATTGCATACAATGTCGTTCTGTTGTTTCTTAAAACTCTGAGATAAGTTTATATCGAAGTAGTTTCCTGATTTGTATATTGTAAATCCTCAGTTGTTGTTGCTGTTGTTTTTTTTTAAAAAAAACAATGTTGGTTCCTTTTTGGTTAAATTCTTTACTGATCACTTAATATAAACAATTTGTCATGAAGGGTCTTCACACTGGATCTATACACCAATAAAGTACAGAGCTGGAAAATGAGATTAGACCAGCTGTTTCTGTCAGGTTCAAAAACTGGTCCCAGATTTCACAAGCATGCCAACAAAAACAGACAGGAAAAGAAGATTGTTTGTACATTTTACACAAGTCTAGTTGAATGAAAAGTTCTTGATTTTCATGTTCTGTGTGATGAATTTATGAAGGCATGGTCAATGTGACTGCCCAATTGCACTTTTTAAAACCATCCACCCTTTCGATCCCGTATACAAAAAAGCAATCCATTGCAAAGGAATGTACGGCTTTAGAATATCTTTACAGTTTGGCTACCACAACATATGTAAAAGTAAAGAGCTTTGAAAGAAAATATATTACTTTGTCTCCCCTCTCCCCCCCCCCAAATACCCCTTTAATAGTAAAGTAAGTTACTTGTACAATTGCAGGGGTTTTCTTTTCTTTTTTCATGCAATTCATGCTATGAAACAACAACAACAAAAAATCTGCCGTTTGTTACATTCTGGCCATAGAGAAATCCTGCATATCTCCCTTTTTATCTTTGAAACCACATATAATCATCCTGCAAACTTGCATGGAGGGAGATTACATTTGTCCAAAAGAAGAGGTCTTCTATGCCTGCACAGTTCCACCCAGACGTTTATAAGCCATCATTGTCCATCTCGTTCTCTCCATGTCAAGTCACTTTGACTGCCTCTGTTGGCATATATTTAGCAATGACAGGACTTTCTTTGCAAAGATCTGCATGTAAAGAATATAATCAATACTTGAGCTTCTCTCCTGTGCTTTTCAAACCAAGCTGGGTGTTTTATAGAAAGGAGGACTAAAGGAGAAAGAGCTACATGCAGAGGCAGCCAATTTTCTTCTCCGACAATATTTTTTTCCCATGCAGTCAGCCAGCCAGCTAGAGACCTCTCTACAGTGTATCTTATTGCTTTCAACATAGAAGAGACACCATGCAAAGTTTTGTCCTACTGCTTGTATTTTGCTCACACTCCTGTAAGGTTCCTATGGCTCAAAAATATCCTGAGAAAAGCAAAAATCTTCAGTCATTGGCAAGTTTCAGCATTGGACTAAATGACAATCTAACCCACTTCATGAAAGCCGGTGGATCTACCATTAGCTGAGAAAAGCACATACCAGGATGGGGTGCACCACTAGAAGAAGCTATGTAGTGCCTCCAGCTTAGCGTCTTATGTACCAATATCATGCAGTGTTATGGCCCGCCAAAGCAACTGATACCCATCTAGTGTCAATTTAGTACTACGTGTTCAAGGATGTGGTCAAAATAAGTGTTACTAACACCAGTAGTAACATCAACCCCATGAGATGCTACCAAAAGCCATAATACTTTCAAACATCATGATCTGCTTACAAGTGACACCACATAAGCTAATTAGAAATCATTGCTCTTCTTTCCCCTCTTTTTATTAGCTTTATTATGATTATCTAGACCATTCTTTGCTACTGATCCATGCTACAGAATGGGAGACCAAGAATGTCTCATTCCGTTAGAAGAATTTCAGGATGCAGGCTTGAAGGATTATTCTACCATTTTTCCATTTATTTTCCATTTAACTATGCTGTTAAGGCTCTATAACATTTCATAACTTTCTTTTAAAAGAAAAACAAAAGGCAAAACATAGAGTATTGGATCCACAACAGAATGGTCAAAATCAGTGAAGTATAGCCTGATCAGCAGCATCTTCATGCTTTGACATGCCAAGAGTAGTATCCCTTGCAACATGGCCCTAGTTGGAAATGGTGGAGGAAAAAAAACAACAATTCTATGTTTAAATGAAGTCCCCCTGCTATGATATAGGGAGCATTATAGAGGAGCTGGAAATAAAAGAAATAAATACAAACCATCAATCTGTCATAGAGCAACTGTAACACTACCAAGTCACTGTGTTGTATGTGATTGTACTGAACCCTTGGCATTTCATGTGGCATTATCTGATACTAAAAATGTCTCTATCTCCCCCCCTGCCCAAATCAAAAGCATTTATAGTTCTGTTGCTATAGAGATACTACTCAATGTGTTTACCAGCATTTTTGCATGCATTTGGTTTCCTCTTCCCTCTGCCAGTTTTTAGTCATGCACAAAACAGCTCAGCAAATTATAGGCATTGTTATGCAATCTATGGAATGAAATTCTGTAGAAACACCAGAGGTGTCCTTGATATATTCCCCCACCCACCCACCCCAACACAGGCCAACAATATGCTGACATTTATAACTCCTTTAGCCAGCTGGCCACACTTTCAATCAACTGGGGGAGCCTCATTCTTTCAGTTGCTTTGTGGGAATTGTCCATTTGTCATCCTAAAAGAGGAACCTTTTAGCAGCAAATTCACAAGGCACTGAACAAGAACCAGGGCTCAAGTTGAATGAAAACGGCCAGCATGTATCCAGGACAGAATCAGGTATAAAGCACTTTGCTACAAAGGTAAATTTAAGCAAAAACACTTTCATATGAAAGCACAATGATCCTCCTACATCTTATCATTAGTAAACTTTGACATTATAATTAACTATACTCTATAACTGCCTTTTTTTTTTCTTTTTTCTGTCAATGTGCAATGCATCCTACAGGTTTGATGAAGTACTGATTTGTGCCATGGCTCACACTCTACAGTTTTTGAGGTGCCCTTAGCTATATTGTTATAATCTGCAGCTACAATCCACAAGTTTTTTTTGGTGATAATTACCCAAAACTCAGCCTGAGCAGAGACTCTCCATTTACTTAACTGAGAACATACCGTTCAGTATACTGTTCATATGAAGGAACTGCTCATTTGAAGCACCTTTGCCTGCACTGACTTAAATGAGAAAATATACTTTTTCTAAATATGCACTTGTTAATCTTATCAAAGGGGTGAGCTTAAGAGATTGGCATTTTAATTGTCATGGATTTAGATTAAATATGCCACCAGTTGCTTTATTTCCTTTCTTTAATGTGTGCAGTCAATATTGTCAGAAATATTCAGGGACCTCAGCAATAAACTGCAGTAAAACAAACAAAAATGTAACATCAGTCAATACAGCTGAACACCGGAGCATAAAATGGTGGTAGAAGCCGTGGTGGTGGTATGTGGGAAAGGGGCTATTTCTCTGAATTGTAAAGCCATGTATGCTTTCCCACTTAACTAAGTATTTTAACTTAGATATCATAAAATGCAGAGGTGGGCAAATAATGTAATATGCCTGTTTTGTCCAATTAGCTACTAATTACTAACTTTAACAACATAGTGTCTTCCACATGTCTCAGGAATAAGCAGGAAGAGATACTGTCCCTTGAAATCAAGACACATGGATGACTAGCCTGTTTGATAATGGAGCTTTTCTTAACTTGGTGGTCCCCAAACTAGGATTTTGAAGCCCAGACAGGGGAAACGGTAAAGGGATGTTTTAATGATGACCATTTTCCCTCAGCAAAGGCCTGCATTTGCCACAAGTGGCCGTCCTTCTTGCCTCTGCCCACCTTACAGGAAAGAAGAGTTAAAGAAGGAACCAACAGCAGAACTTCAATAGTGCTGAAAATATCTGTGGTGCTGAAAGAGTTGGCACCAACCTGGCCCAGTACTGCAATAATAACAACAATATGGAAGAAATGTGGAGTCGTACGGCCACTAAGGTCATAGGGTTTCATAAAAGGATATGTTGGACCTACATATCGGATGGAATTATCTGCAAAGGGTCCACAAGTGCAAACTTTGGGCATCACCATTTCTTGCCTGATGCATGGATTAAGATGTCAGGCTGTTGTTTTTAGTGCAACTAATATTTTCAAACAATACTGGTCAATAAATCATATCTTAAACTATCTTACTATCTATGTGATGATTGGACCTTATCTACATACCCTTTCTTATTCCTCCATCAGGCGGGCAGGGATATTCCCCGGTTGATAAGAGGAAGCAAGGTCCATATCTCTCCCGAGTGCCAGAACGGGTAAATGGCAGACCTTCCTCAGGTGACATAGCCTGGTCTATGTGGGGACAGTCTTCATTTGCCAGCGCCGCCTTGGCCACCTCCCCATTCAGTTTCGAATCTTCAAACATATAAGCAGAAGGCTATTGAAACACTAAGCATGCTTGCGTTGAAATGAAATCTCTCCGTAGAGTTCCACAACTAGGTGGTAACAGTATGGGGAAAAAGGAGCTCATTTGTCCTAGGTACCTTGGTGAAGTGCAGGGCACTCTTGTTTAAAGGAAAAATGTTAATGGGGGAAAACAGAAGAAAGAGAATGTTAGCTTGCTAGAAACATGGCTCCTAACTCTGTGAGAAGAAGTCTGTAATTCAAAATGCGATTATATCCAGTATGATGGAAGCTGGCACCCAAATTATCCATTTTTCATCTAGCTGCCTAGGACTCACAACATTTTTGAGGCTGGCACTAATGATGATTCAGGTTGTGGTACTAGTACATTCTAGCTCTGCTGTCTTACATCTTTTCCAGTGTGAATTTTGGTTCAAACAAAATCATCCTTACATAAGTAGTTTCCATTTTTGTATATACAAAACAGTGGCACTCATTTTACGCAGACACACAGAGCATGCAATGAAAATGTGAAAGCAGAACATGGATTTTTCTTTTACAGTAAAAATCCATGTGCCAAGAAGTTGAATGATGGTTCCCCCCTCACCCCCCTGGTGTATTTCTATGGCAGCAGAGGATGCTGGGTATCTCTGGATAATCAAATGAGATTGGAAAACAAACATACATGGCACATGATTAAAAATGACTTGTAAACATGTTTCCATCTACATGTTTTTTTAAGAGAATTGACTTTGTTTCCTCTGTGTGACTTGCTTCACAATCTCAAAGCAATTTAAAGTGCTCTTCTAAAAGTTTACTAAAGTGCAAATTAGTATATTAAGAATATAGGTGAAATATGGCATAGTTCAGTGTGGCCAAGAAGGAATCACCTTATGTAAAAGCAACCCTTTCAGAGGAACTGACACAGTATAGATAATTGTGTCATTCAAACTCTCAGTTGCCCAATGCTTATTACGTAAAGATAGCTGGACAGGCGTAGCAGCTGCCCTAACAGTTTTAGCTAAAAGGGAAATTGGAGCACTAGTATACTCCATTCTTATGCTAAAATTTAATGTTCAAACTTGTTCAACACAGCCTGTAGTTTCACTGATTCATAATGCGTAATTAATAAAATCAATCTCCTCATTTAAAAGAGACCATGTAACAATAAAATGTATTCACCAGTAAATAATTTGAAAACTTTCTGAGACTTAAGAATTTCAAGAGCATAATATATACAAATAACATTAGGAAGTTTCTTCCTAAGCTGATCCGCTTTCTTATTCTTGCTTTAAAATTTTAGGTAAGGATACTCTGAATCTGCCATTTGGTACTTGTGTAGTAAGTGGAATTGGTGGGCAAATTACTTTTGCTAAATTACTTTTGATTTTTATATTCCCATAGTTTATACCTGTTATACTGACTCTATAGCTTATTTAGGAATTAACTACTTTACATTTACCTTTACAGTTACCTGGAAGACAATGATAATATAGAAATAGCCCATGGCATTATGTTGTTCCTTACCAAATTAGTATGCTGAGTTTTAACCATATCTACTTATAGCCTGCTTTTTTTTATTGAAGCCTCTTGGGTCAAGCTGTTATAAATGGAAAGTGCCAAGAACCTGGTCCTCATACGTTTAATATAACTGGATCCTGATAGACACAAAATCTAATGGCAGGTGGCAACAACACTATACTTGTAACATCTCCAGGAAATATCCAAGCATTTAATCCATTTTTAATGCAAAACTAAAATTTAATGTAAAAGCTAAAATTGCAAAGAGGCTGCTAATGCACCAGAGAGTATAATGTTCTCATTCAAAATCTTATAAGATTTCAGGTGAGAATATTGAAATGTCATGATATTTTAAGTGTGAATGCTGAAATCTGAGGAGATTTCACAGTGAGATTGCCAAAATGTCATGAGATTGGAGGAACTTGTGAAAAATTGATGATTTTTAATCCTATATTTCCAGTCTTTTGTGTCATTATGTGAAATCGCTTGATGGCACCCGCCACCTGAAAAATTTGCCAATCCCAATCCTACATTCTCTGTATTGACCTGCTTGGAGATGTAGAGTACTTCATTTTTTACGATATCATTTACATGTTTGTTAATGTTTTCCTTCAGCCAAAAAGTGATACTTGGATTTTGAGAAAGTCTGAGTCTTCATACACGTATTGCCATTCCTAAGAAGGAAATGGTGTATCTTATAGTGTTTTGTAAAATATCATTTGTTCTGCCACAGAACAAATCAATTAAATGCCAACATATAAGAGTGGCCAAGGCAAGCGAGCATGTGGACATGTGGTAGGATGTAAATAATTATATTTAATAAATAATACATGGGTTTTAATAAAATTGATTCATTTAATTCTCCAGAAAAAGAAGGGAGATCACAGAAATTGGCACTTTTACAAGTTAGATATTATGTGTTCATTTCTTAAGACAGCACATGAACTAGGCCAAGACAATTGAACTCTCATAACATTTTGTGATACTGGAGATTTCAGCCTCTTTTTCAAATGATTAAAAAAAAAAAGCTGTCTGGACATCATGAAAATGATTTCATGGTGCCCAACCTATGAACATTTTGCCAAGAGTTACAGGAATCTTCTATCCTCCATCTCCTTGATTTTCATCCAATCCTTCTCGAATTACCTTCTTGAATTAAGAGAAGAGAATATATGTAGCTCAGGGTTGAACTGTGGAGTCCTTGGGGTTCTCTGAGCTTGGTTGTTTTCTTGCAAACATTTCACCAAGCTTAGAGAACCCTAAGGACTCCACTTTCTTGAATTCCCAATTCAAGGAAGGAATCTAGACATTACATCAGAATCCACAAACGATAGCCTATGCTGCTTTTCCTTAACCCACAGTTTACAACAGATTGTCAATTTGGATTTGGTGGACAAGCACAATTCTTAATTTTCTGATTCAGCAACAATGGCTGCCCAAACCAGGAAGTAAGAAATGGCATTGAAGGAGCCAGAGAAAGCTCAGATATCAAACCATGTTATATCCAGATGATCTCTGTGTGAGGCTTGAGCTTCAAAATTTGTCACAATATTAATGAGTTTGAGTTATATTAGTAAAGTACAAAGGACAATTATTATCTTCTTGATAAGGGATATTATTTTTCTCCTTATATAATATTTGATTCATGTATTTATTTAAATCTTAATGGATGCCACATTTAGTTTTATTGCTTTCTATTATATTTTATTTGCTTGCATTTACAAATAGAAAATGAAAAAAAAATTAAAAGCATGGAATTATGGACATCTCTCCATGCCTCTGATTCTGACCTCTTGCAAATTCTGTAAATGCAAAATACAGGTTTTTTTTTAAAATGGTACCAAAGTGAGCATTACCTATATGCTCAATATGCAGAAGTTTTAGATACTAGGTCTGTTTCATGCTTTGAATTAGATTCCAAAAAGCACATGGGAGTGAGAATGCACCATCTTTTTGCATGCAGCTGCATCTTTTCTTAAATTGGCATAGCAATAAAACACAAGCATTGCACAGTTGTATTAGAAAGCATAATGCTTCAAAACAACACAATATAAAAAATAATTTCTCTACTGTCAGAATGAGGAAATGCTTGTGGACAGAATATTGTAGCATTTTTCAAAAATAAGCAGGTGGGCAACTACTTTCAAGACCAGGGCCACACTTGAAAACAAAAAAATTGCTTGGGGTCCATAGATGTGAGCGTCATGATGTCATCAGATGGAGAGGGGCCAAAGTCCCTGACCCTTTGTGTTTGGGGGAAGGGTTTTTACAAAGTGAAATGGGTATCAAAACCTAATTTTGAAGGAATGGAACATTTTAAGGGATGATCACTAGGATAGCTGAAAAATGGGATGAGATCTGTCTCATCAATTGAATCATTTCATTTGTGCATTTTTACCAATAAGCAACTGTAACTCCATCAAGAGATTATTCGCACTGTCACTGTGGATGGATGTTAAAAAGAACACTGACTATTTTTTTTAAAGGCTCCGGAAATCTGCGTTTGTGATTAGGAATTCAGTGAAGCACTTTACTGAAGCCAGAAATGCAGATGAAGCAGTCTAAAATAAAATTTGCATTCAATATCTTAGGAGACATGCCAAGAAACCTTACAGTATCATACTTAATTTGGCAGAGTGATAAATTATTCCTACTAGGAGATTAGAAATTTGACACGATGGGATGGCTCGGTAACTTCAAAGACCCTGAGAGCAATGCTGGTGGAATGGGAGCTCTTGGTAGGGTCATCTTTGCTGTTATGGAGGGTTAAAGATAATCTACAACAGGCATGAGGGAAGATGGGGCTCTGCGGACAAGATGGAAGCCAATCCATTTAGAAGAAAGAATTCCAAAATCAAACCTGGTAGAAGGCTATGGCAAACCACTTCTGTACAGTTGTGAAGAAAATTATATGGACATGGCTGAAAATTGAAACAAATTTTGTGCCAGATGATGAAAACCTCATGTCGGAAGGCAGTACCTATAATTACTGGAAAGGAACCAGAGGTGATGACATGACCAGACCAAAGTTGTAAGGAAGTCTGGTCACTGATGATGCCAGTATTAAAAGAGGAGGTTCTCATTTTTCAAGGACATAATACAATTCGGAAAACACAATGTGAGAAGCATGTACCAAGGGAAATTTGAAATGGTCAAAGCAGAAATGAAGCACACTAAATTGGATGTTTTAGGCATATGTAAATTTAAGTGGGCCAGATTAGTTACTTTAAATCAGATGACTTTTTGATATATATTCAAGGCATAAGACCATATGAAGGAATCAAGGGGCAATGTTTGTCAACAACAACTTCACTAAGGATGTGCTTGGTTATAAATGTTAGGATATTATCTATTAGAATTAATTAATGTCTGGTAAATATTAATGTTATATAAGTGTATGTCATTACTACAAATGCAGTGGTGGAAAGCACTGACAACGTCTACAGCAACTTGTACTAAGTGCTAAATACAACATTTTAAAAAAATATGGT